GCCGCGAGCTGAGTGGTGGTGGCCATTGTGCCCAGAGTCTCCATCCCTGTAGTAGCTTTGCCCCATTTCTTCAGTGAACTTCCAGCCACCAGGAGTGGCTGCCTCTGTTCTCACTCCTCTCAGTCTCGCAGTCCCTCCCACCCCTGCCTGGATGTCTGAGGTCCTTTGTTTGTATCTCCCTTTTGCCATTTATTCTTCCCAGTATTTTGCTAAGTATACTTGGTATTTGCCTCATTTATTTCTTAGATATGAATTCCATAATAGGACGCAGCATATCTTATTACCCTTCACATGCTACACAGTGTTTCTCCAGGAACTAAAAGATCATTATTAGATCGCAGTCAGAAATGCCATCAGAAACGCTACGCTGAGAGCCTTGCCACATCTACCCCCACCTCCACCCTGGGAAGGAGAGCGTGTAGGCAAGCCCAGAGAACAGGAACTGGGGTTCCCCAAGACTTCCTGTCGCTGACTAACACACAACAACCTAAGGCCGTGCAGCGAAGACCAAAGGGCTCTGGAGGATTCCTGCTCTGCTGTGATCACGTCCTTTTGCTACCACGTGAGTAGTATTGTTATCTGCTGCTTCAGTAAACATTTTCATGTGGGCCTCTCAAAAAGGGAGGCATTTGAAAACCATGTTCCAATTTTATTCTCTAAGAACTATGAAAAAATACAGCCTCAAGTCTTGTTTAGTGCCCTGTCATCTAGCCATTTTGGCCACATGAATGTCACTATGATACTCTATTTACAAAGGAATTCCTCTCCACATAGGTCATTATAGTGCAGCAGATGCAAGCTTGCTTCAGATAATAACACAATCTAATAAAAAGAGATAATGTTCCCTCTGTGGGGAATGCCTCTATCTGTGACATCTTGAATGCTACAGATCAAAGAGGTAACGAAATGGGAGAGATGGTAGTGATTATGAGTTGAAAAGTCTAAATGACACAAATGTTATCAAAAGATTAATGTAGGGGGACCTGGTTACAAATGTACAACCTCCTTCCAGTGTGTGTGCTCTCTGCAGGGTTCAAGGAAAATTACCACAGGGAAGATTAGCAGAGGAAAATAATTAAGGGAGCATGGAACACAACACTCCCCTGACGCATTATCAGCTCCTGCTAGAGTAGATATGGGGTCAGGATTCTCAGCGCTTAATTCCACAGCCCAGTGAGATCTGCAGCATTCTGGCACAGATAGCAAATTAGAACAAGTCCTGGCTAATTTTCAGACCCCTGGGAGGCCCCCATCAAGATAGAGCGATGAGAGTGCGGATCAAGCATGGGGAGACCTTCTGCAAGGATGCACTACAGTGCACACATGCAGCCCTGTGCCTCAAATCAGCTATAATGAGGTTTGCACACAGACCCGAAACTCTCTGAAAAGTTCTGGCTTAGGGTTCACACTAGGGCCTTCAACACAACATGGATCCCATCGTCGGATGCTAGGCAAAGCAATCGATCTCCCCTCCTTAAATGCAGTTCTCTGAATGCGGCTACGTTCACAAAGTTCAGTCGTGATGGCACTATGTACACACACCCCCCCCCCCCCGCCCCAACTCAGCCATCTCTGCTTCTGTGGTCAAGCCATCTGCCATACTCATTGCTAGAAATCACTGGAAACAACCGGAACACTAGAAAGAGGATCCGCTTTCAACAGAAATGGATCAACCAGGACAAAAATATTCTTTCTTCTAGTCCTAAAAATAAACCAGCCACCTCACCCACGACCTGGAGAAATACTTTTGCCAAAAATACTCCTACATCACGAACACAGGCAGCATGGTGGACACAAACTCGGTGCAGCCCAGATTCCAAGGGCACCCGGTGCTGGGAACACCCAGGGACACTGCACTCTGCAAAGCCTTCTCTGCAGTGCTGGGCAGAAAATCCAGGCTAAACACACGCACGCGGGGCAGTCCTTACGTTCAGTCCTAACGCTGACTTTTCTGCACACCGTGCGTGCGGCTGCAGACTGAGGCCGCGACGGCAGCACCAGCCCAGACCTGGCCCTTGTGAATGCATCTGACTGACTGTGCTGCAGCTTCTCTCTTTCCCACCCATGGAGCCACGATGAAGGTTGGCAGATGCCAGCACGGGTCTCCATGCTCTCTGAGATGAGACACAATGTCCACCTCTGGTCTGTTCTCTGTCGCCCACCGCATGGAATTCTAACGATCTTAAAACAGCTATGATTGCCGGCGCCGTGGCTCAATAGGCTAATCCTCCACCTTGCGGCGCCGGCACACCGGGTTCTAGTCCCGGTCGGGGCGCCGGATTCTGTCCCGGTTGCCCCTCTTCCAGGCCAGCTCTCTGCTATGGCCAGGGAGTGCAGTGGAGGATGGCCAGGTGCTTGGACCCTGCACCCCATGGGAGACCAGGAAAAGCACCTGGCTCCTGGCTCCTGCCATCGGATCAGCGCGGTGCGCCGGCTGCAGCGGCGGCCATTGGAGGGTGAACCAATGGCAAAGGAAGACCTTTCTCTCTCTGTCTCTCTCTCTCAATGTCCACTCTGCCTGTCAAAAATAAAAATAAAATAAAATAAAAAAAAAAACAGCTATGATTTACACTCTCACTCCTCTGTTGGCCCAACTCGTGATGGAGTTTGCCACATAAGCCTCCAAGTCCGGGCTACCAGCCGCTTGCTGCGATGCACAGGGCTTGCTCGCCGGAGCACGTGGACGGCGTCACAGCACTGACATGGGCTCCACACGCTGAGCATCCGGGCTCCCAGACAGCCACACCACGCTGCGCGCAGGCGTCAGAGCAAGCCGCGCTCACGACCGCCACTCACCCTAAACATGAGAGTTCTCTGCTCGGGCCACGCTGTCAGAATTTTCTCTCTACACGCATTTGCAGGTCCTTTATTTTTCCAATGGAAGGAATTTTACACTGATTTCTAATATTTCCTTACACATTCAGCCTTTCTTTGAGGCATTTCTATATCTGTCTTGCAGTATCATTTTCACTCCTTCAGCCAGTACTATTACCATGTGCTCCCCAAAGGTACGCGTCAGTCTTGAGTTTCCATACACTACTTCTAAGGATTATTTCTAAATAGCTGGCAGGTACTCAGATGCACAATCAGCCCTGTGAAACCATCTCCAAGATCACCTACAAAATACGTGTGGGGCAGGTGTGTCACAGTGGATTAAGGGACAGTTTGGGATGTCCATGTCCCACATCAGAGAGCTGGTTCAAGTCCTGGCTACTCAGCTTCCAACCCGACTTTCTGCTAATGTGCCTGGGGGAAAGCAGATGGGGACCCGAGTACTTGGATCTCCGTTACCCATGGAAAAGACCAGACGGAGTTCCTGGCGCTGGCTTCCAGTTTCTGACATAAAAGCACGTTCCTACCTCTGCACTGCCATAGTAATTCTTCTAAGTGGAAAAGTCCGAACCAAGGAGGGAGCTGAGCCCCTCTGCTCTGCTTCTCAGCCATTGTTTTAATGTCAACTTCAGTAAGTTAATCTGGTCCTGATTTCAGACACAATTTATTAGTATTTGTATGGTCTCTGACACCCTTCCTTGTTCCCAGCTAATAGTGGACTTATCCTCCAAGACTATCCTTAAAACTGTATTTCATTCTCTTGAACTTATCCTAGAATAGTCTCTGCTTGCAGACTGAATTTCTTACAGATCGTCTGCTTGTCCGTGTAATTCCCCAAGTCTTCCTCACAGATAGTCTGCTTGTCCGGGCAATTCCCCAAGTCTTCCTCACCGGCATGATTCATTTTTCAAAGTGATTGGTTTTTGAGTTGGTGCTTTCTCAGAGCTGAAACCTTGGCATGATACAGATTTCTTCTTAATTAAAAAAAAATAGTTCTCATCCTCTGCTTCCATTGCTACTCTAGGTCATTTTCCATTTGTGACTATCTACTCCCACAGGGGTCACCAAAGGCCATTCAGCTTGGTGGAAACTTCAGCACGGTCACAGGCAAAGGGTAGCTCAAACCATGGTTAAGAAGTGGAAATAAAATCATCACACGGTAGATCATCAATAGCACCTGGCAACCAAGAGCAGGAATCACTCCCGGCACCTGTCCTGGGGCAGGGCGTAACACAGGCTTGACTTCAGGTTGTCACTAAACTTGTCCATACTCATCCCAAGTATCAGGGCAGTGCAACTGTGTCACACACGTGCCTCTGTTCCAGGAGATCAAACAGTTGACAAAGGAGACAGAAGTGACTTGGCAACACTAGCTATCGATCCTGAGGTTAAAAAGTCCTTGCTTTATAGCAAAGCTGCCTTGGTTTAAATTATTGCTCCTTGCATTTAAAAAATTCACTGTGCTTAATTGTTTCAGCTTAATATCCTCTGCATTTGCCCACCTAACTTTTAAATTTGTAGAAAGATAACATGTATAATATTGTTGAAACTGGTTTTTTTTGGACAGGCAGAGTGGACAGTGAGAGAAAGAGACACAGAGAGAAAGGTCTTCCTTTGCTGTTGGTTCACTCCCCAAATGGCCACTATGGCCGGTGCACCACGCTGATCCAAAGCCAGGAGCCAGATGCTTCTCCTGGTCTCCCATGGGGTGCAGGGCCCAAGCACTTGGGCCATCCTCCACTGCACTCCCGGGCCACAGCAGAGAGCTGGCCTGGAAGAGGGGCAACCGGGACAGAATCTGGCACCCCGACCGGGACTAGAACCCGGTGTGCCGGCGCTGCAGGCGGAGGGTTAGCCTAGTGAGCCGCAGCGCCGGCCTGAAATTGATTTTTGTGTGTCGTAAAGGGATGACGTTTGAGTGTGGTTATGTTCCCAGCTCTCTGTGGAATGCTCTTTATGCCACTTAGGAGTTCATTGAATAATGGATTTCACTTACTGCTCAGATTACAGACAAAATCCCTTTAGAAACTCAAAGAAGTCCTCGCGTGAACCCAACCCCGGAAACCAGGCGGGACTTGGTGAGTGTCCCTCAGAGCACCCACGGCAGCACAGCGCCCGCGCTCTCGCCGCGGTCTGCGCTGAAGGTTCGCGTGTGTTAGAGAAGTTACCGAGACACCGAGTTTCGGTTCCGCTCCAGAGTCCGTTGGCCAAGCACTCTCTGACGTGTGAGCCCACGAGGGTGTAGCCCGTGTTGCAGGTAAATATGGCGGTGGCTCCAAAGACGGTCAGCGTCCCGATCTTGTTCCCGTTGGGGGGGAAGGACAGGCTTCCACAGGATATCACTAGAAGAAAGGGGAACGGGAGCATTAGGAGGGCTGCGGACGACACCGGTCAGCGGTCCCCACTCTAAGACCATGGAGCAGGGGTGTCCGCTCAGGACTTGACTGACCGACCATCTGGAAGCTTCCTCCTCTCATGACCCTGAAGGGAACACGTAACAGTTCAGAGCAGATGCCAGCACACTTTAGAAAGTTTCTAACGCATGTTGTTGCGTTACTTTTTCTTCACCCTCACAGGTAGCCAACCCTTTCCTGAAAAGCATACAGAATTCAAATATATTCCCTGACAAGCACAGCTGTCCAAGGAGCTGGTGATCTGTCCATTCTTCATCCATATCAAAAACACAAGTGATTTACTACTGCATGCCTATGCCAGCCCCTCAGGAAGGAAGGAATGCAAACCATCCTTATCAAAGGCAACCTGCTCAGACAAGGAAGTGTGGCGGTGAAATCTACAACTTCTCACCACTGTAGTAGCGCTGAGTGTTCCTGTTTGTTACCTGCAGCATTTGCACGTCTACATAAGAATGCTGACTGCGTGGGAAAGGCAGGACCTCCCGGAGAATGCAAAGAAATCCAGAGGAGCCTCCCTTGGTTGTAGGAAGGGCAGCCCCACGCCCCAAGCCTGCCTCACTCAGTCATAGGAAGGGCGGCCCCACGCCCCAAGCCTGCCTCACTCAGTCATAGGAAGGGCGGCCCCACGCCCCAAGCCTGCCTCACTCAGTCATAGGAAGGGCGGCCCCACGCCCCAAGCCTGCCTCACTCAGTCATAGGAAGGGCGGCCCCACGCCCCAAGCCTGCCTCACTCAGTCATAGGAAGGGCGGCCCCACGCCCCAAGCCTGCCTCACTCAGTCATAGGAAGGGCGGCCCCACGCCCCAAGCCTGCCTCACTCAGTCATAGGAAGGGCGGCCCCACGCCCCAAGCCTGCCTCACTCAGTCATAGGAAGGGCGGCCCCACGCCCCAAGCCTGCCTCACTCAGTCATAGGAAGGGCGGCCCCACGCCCCAAGCCTGCCTCACTCAGTCATAGGAAGGGCGGCCCCACGCCCCAAGCCTGCCTCACTCAGTCATAGGAAGGGTGGCCCCACACCCCAAGCCTGCACTGGTTGTCCCAGCACAGTCATCAGTCACGTCCATTTCTACCCAAGAAGCCCTCCGGTGAGGGATAAATGAACAGTCGCCTTCATCGTCGAGTCTTGACACCGTCTAAATCTCTGCACTTCAGATCCACAAATGTCTGAGCACAGAAACTCAAAGGTTCCCAGGAGTAAGGAAATCACAAAGTTATCAGGGCCAGAGGCTTATTCGCGTTTGAAACAGGTCTGAGTAAAAGTCTCAGGACAGAGACTCAGAGCGTGGAAGGAGCTGTGATGTGCAAAGTGCCCAGGGCAACACATCTCAGGTCCCCCTTTGTACGAGTGGTGACAGGCAGTGGGTAATGGTGACGAGAAACACGGAGCCTGGCTGTGCGCTAGCCAGGTTCAGCCCCATCTCTGTGTGGTCTCTGTGCTCTGTGGCAGACTGGCAGCAACACCTGCCACACAGGGTCTGCAATCAAAGCCAGCAGAGCAAGCATGGGAAGCTACGGCTTGTGCATGGCTGGCTTGGTCAAGGTCGGCTGACTGTGACAAAACAAATCAGGACCTACCGAGGGAATGGAATCCGAAGTGTAAAGACTGTGCACACAATTTCAGTGCATGGAAAACATCATGCATGTGATCCGAGACCAGCCCGCGTATTTCGGCGGATCTCGTTCCAAGAAGTGACAGCATAGCTGCATTGCTGGGGCACAGACGGACACTGTTGGCTAGGACCCTTCTCCAGGAGCCTCGGTCCTGGAGCACAGCATGGCTCGGGCACTGGCCATGGAGAGCTTCCACGGCTCGGACACTGGCCGTGGGGAGCTTCCACGGCTCGGACACTGGCTGTGTGTGGGGAGCTTCCACGGCTCGGACACTGGCTGTGTGTGGGGAACTTCCATGGCTCAGACACTGGCTGTGGGGAACTTCCACGCCGGTCAGTTTCTGGGATTGCTGACCCACTGCAGAGTTCTTATCTTGTGCCTTATTGCCAGCACATCTGCTGCACCAAATGTCAATGAATTCAAGTGGGATTTGGATTTTTATGTTATGTGCTTTTCATTAAGCCTTTTCCCAAACACAGTGTGAACTTCACCTTGATCTGTGATATTCAGAGATCCCTATGTAGCCATTTGTGACAGCTGGATCGATCGTGTCTGGAAACTTCAGTGTTCAGCAGAAGTGGGCTAAAGATGGGGCTAGCGCTGTGGCGTAGTGGGTAAAGCCACCGCCTGCAGTGCCGGCATCCCATATGGGCATGGGTTCAAGTCCCAGCTGCTCCACTTTGGATCTAGCTCTATGCTATGGTCTGGGAAACCAGTAGAAGATGGCCCAAGTGCTTGGGCCCAGGAAGAAGCCCCTGCTCCTGGCTTTGGATTGACGCAGCTTCGGCTGTTTTGGCCAACTGGGGAGTTAACCAGTGGATGGAAGACTTCTCTCTGTGTGTAACTCTGACTTTCAAATAAATAAATATTTAAAAAAAAAAAAAGCAGTGGGATAAGAGACCCAGACGTTCCCCCTTAGAGGTCTTGACACACCTGTGGGGGACTAGCAAGAAAACCCCTCTCCTTGCTGCCCCTGTCTCTGCCCTGGGCCTGTGTTAGAGACGACCTGCAGAGGGCGCTGTGGAGCGGGTCACTGGCCTGTGTCTGGGCCTCTGTTAGAGACGGCCTGCAGAGGGTGCTCTGGAGCAGGTCACTGGCCTGTGTCTGCCCTGGGCCTGTGTTAGAGACGACCTGCAGAGGGCGCTGTGGAGTGGGTCACTGGCCTGTGTCTGCCCTGGGGCTCTGTTAGAGACGACCTGCAGAGGGCGCTCTGGAGCGGGTCTCTGGCTCGGGAGAAGCAACAGGGGCACAACTCCAGGGTGTCAGTGGCTGGAGGCCGTGGGAGCCAGGCCCTGGACCGCCTGGACTGTACACGCTGGCCTGGCTGACTGGGAGAGGCCCCACCGCTCAGCCAGCCTCTGCGCACGTCAGGGAGAGAGCTGCCTTTCCACGCTATCTTCTCAGCCCAAGTTTCCGGACCTGCACTCCGTGTTTGCCTCTTTCCCATTACAACGGAATCCATTAAACCGGCAGTGTGGCCTCTGGGCAGCACTTCCTCCGAGGCCTGGGAGCAAGGCCGTGCACACACTCCCTCCCCACAGTGCACCCTCCCCCATTCTTGCCCGGGGCGGGGGGGGGGGGGGGTGTTGGGAAACAAGCTGTTCCAGGGAGGAGCCTTTTCCTTCAAACTACATCATAACCACCTTGAAATCTCCCACTTGGAAAGAAATCGCATCCTTGCATAGTGATCCACTTGCAAGGATTACTTGTGAATGCAGTAAACAAACATCGGCTCAAGTGCAGGTCAGTCCAATGGGTCCTCCCTGGGGAGACCCTGCGACCCCACAGAATGCCGTGGTGGGCCGGCAGCCGCCCGGGTTGTACCTGGTGGGCAGCCCTTGGCCCCGAGCATAGACTTACAGGCTTACGATGGACGCATTCCACTGCGTGAAGCGAGGCCGTGTAGGCCAGAGTCTGAGTTGTATTAGACCTTGAGGGACAGAGCTAAGATCACTCACTGCGTATAAGCCAGAAAGCCGGCCGCAGACAAAGGGAAAATGTCCCAAATCTGAAATGGGCTGCGCTCGGGCGACAAGCAGCCCCTCGGTGTTTGTTGTTGGTGGGCAGTGACTTGAGAGTATGCCAAACAGAAAACTCAACGGCAGGTCTCTGAGTGATGTCCAGGGTCCACTCCAACAGTGTGCGGGGAGAGCAATGCCCACACCAGGCTTCCTAGGATATGGGGCACAGCTCTTGTGGCACACAGGAGGTCACCACCGCCACCCTGCCCATCTCACGTCCCAGTGTGCCAGGGGGAGGACAGTCCACATCCAGGCACTGATCTTCGGGATCTGCAATATAACAAAACTACAATGATTCCCTTATGCCTCTGTGTGTGTGATTTTAAATGCAAAGATCATTTTTCCAATTAATGGGTCCTTGTGGTGAATATTTTTGTTTGAAAAATATAAACAATAAATCTGACAATAAAGAAAAGTAACCAAAATAACAGCCTCCAAGTTTTCAGAAGATCCTGGGCTAGGGACGTGTGTACGCACCCTGAAGATTAATTTTTAAAAGATTTATTTGTTTATTTAAAGGCAGACTTACAGAGAGCTAGAGGGAGGAGAGAGGGAGAGGGAGAGGGAGAGGGAGAGGGAGAGGGAGAGGGGGGGGAGAGAGAGAGAGAGAGTAGAGAGAGAGAGGAGAGAGGAGAGGTGGTTCCATCCACTGGTTCACTTTCCAAATGGCGGCAACGGCTGGAGCTGGGCTGATCCAAAGCACATTAGCAGGGAGCTGGATCAGAAGTGGAGCAGCCGGGAGTTGAACCGGTGCCCCTTTGGGATGCCAGCACTGCAGGCATTGGTATCACCTGCTACACCACAGCACCAGCCCCTGGAGACTGGATTTTAACACTGCAACATTGTCTCTCAGGGCAAGAGTGCATGGAGACTGGATTTTAACACTGCAACACTGTCTCTCAGGGGCAGAGAGTGCATGGAGACTGGATTTTAACACTGCAACACTGTCTCTCAGGGGCAGAGAGTGCATGGAGACTGGATTTTAACACTGCAACATTGTCTCTCAAGGGGCAAGTGTGCAGAGATGAGGATGTGCAGGTGTGACAAGTCGTTCTGTGCCCTCACTCACAGACTCGGGCCTCTCCAGGGACACGAAGGTTTCCTGGAGTCAGCATGAGTCGACGCTGGGTGATTCTCAGATGACGTCACTTGAGCGTCACCTGTGCCATCAGCCGGTCATCAAGGGTCACCTCTTGGGACTAACTGGACACGGGGAATGGGAAATCCTACCCACAGCCCACAGGCAGACAGGTAACTGGAAATGATTAAGTTCTGGGGAGCTCATGGTCGGGACCATTTGGAGGCACAGCACAGCTCCTACGCTGCGCCAGTGGTCTGGCTGCTGGCGGCCTTGTAGATGGCTGTGGTCCAGGCTGGCTGCAGGGAAGCAGGGGACTTTGTGTCTCTTCTGCCCACCAGCTGCCCCAACACGGCCCCTGGGCTCATGAAACTGCCTTCCCAGCTAAATGCAGGCAGGAAGTCAGATCGCCCCTGAACTTCCTGCTGTGCACATGCACTTAGGAGAGTGAAGCACACGGTTCGGCTCCTACTGCGTTTCTCTCTGTGTTGGAAAGGTAGACAGGGGGAATGGGAGGTAAACATAACTCAAGAATAAAACAGAAAAAAAATGCACTACGGCAAAATGAACCCATGTATTTAGTGATTTTTATTACAGAATCAGCAAATGATGTATTCATGTTAAGGTTCTAAAGACTGCTCCCCTTTATTTGGGGAGTAAGTTTTAAAGGCCCTCAGTGATGCCCAACGTTACAGTGCTTGGCTTTGCTCTGATATTATTAACGGACTTTGGGAAAGAAGAGGGTTGCCATCTTGAGGTACTAAATATTTGTCCTCTGTGGGGAGCAATCCGGACTGGACTAAGTTACTGAAATTAAGACTTATTCTATGCATCTGCTCTCCCACAACATGGCGTTGGGAGAGAAGTAAACAGCTTCCGCACAGCTGCCTCCAGTTCAACTAATAAACTGTAGGACTTGCTCCTGATTGGAGAGCAGCGTACTCGGCGTGTGGGCAGCCGAGTTGGGATTGGCGGAGGAGGACTATAAAGGAGGAGAGAGACGGCATGCACCAGGAACATCTATGGGGAACATCTAAGGGAACCCGTGCAGCCCCGAGGAAAGCCGGCCGGCGGTGTGCCGCTCCCCTGCGCAAGTGGGGAATGCGGCCAGGGGGAACTGCCCTTCCACGGAGGTGGAAGGGATAGTAGCCAACCTGGGAAGAACCAGCAGCAAGCCCGGGGAGGGCCCGAGCAGACGAAAGAACAGCGCAGGGTCCTGTGTTGCTACCTCCACGAAGAGGGGGGAGCGACATAATGGTGCCGTGACTCGGATATGAAGCCTAGGCAGGGTTTAGTGTTGCTCCTCCACGAAGACGGGGAGCGACATAATGGTGCCGTGACTCGGATATGAAGCCTAGGCAGGACTTAGTGTCGTTCCTCCATGAAGAGGGGGAGCGACATAGTGGTGCCGTGACTCGGATAGGAAACCTAGCTCGGATAGGAAACCTAGGACGGATAGGAAACTTAGGAGGGAAGAAACGGGAAGAACTGGGAAAATACCGGAGAGAGAGACTAGCAAACAGCCTAGGGGAAAGCCGGACGATAAAGGTGCCGGAAGAAGCTATTGAAAGCCTAGGCATAGACTCAGATACGGACTACGGGGGGAAGCTGGGAGAAATCTCTAAGGTCGAAAGCGAAAGTGAAAGCTAGAACAAACAGACTCGGATGCGGACTGTGGGGAGAGGCCAGGAGAAATGAGGGAGGAGTATTGTTGGAGGAAAGCTTGGGGAAACATACCGGGTAGAGAAAAGTGTTAGGGAAATTGAAGCCGCGGGGGGGCAGGCCGAGGCGGATACGAAAGCCACTTTGGGATTCTCAAGTTAGCCCGGGAATAGGGGGCGAAAAGTTGAAACCAGAAGCTGAAACGTGAGCCTGGTTGGGATCCGTCTGATTAGCCCGGGGAGCAAAGGACGGGAAGCCAAACCGTGGGGCGGAGAC